TTGCATTTCTACTTAGGTTTACTTATCTTTAATAAAGTCTCAAATGTGGACAATTGCATGAATTAAAGTTAATAAGTTTATTATAGTGTATTGTAGATATATCTATCTATTTTTCTATCAGTACTTGTTTACTTGGGAAAATATTTTTAAAAACTTAAAAAATTAAATATCCAGAAAAATGAATACTGCTGAGTAAAGTGGCATAGGGAATGTAAATTAACATTATGGAAAACAGAGTGGAGATTTCAAATAGAACTTTCATACAGTCCAACAATTTCATTATTGGTATTTATACAAAGTAAAGCAAGTCAATATATCAAAGGTGCAGTATACATGCACCTCCATGGTATATGTATATAGTGAAATACTATTCAGCCATTAAAAAGAATGAAATACTGTCATTCTCAGCAACATGGATGAACCTGGAAGATGTTATGTTCTGTGAAATAAGTCAGGCACAGAATATAAATACTGCATGGGAGCTAATTTTTTTTGAGCTCATGAAAGTAAAGAGTAGAATGGTGGGTTTTAGAGGCGGGAAAGAATGGGAAGAAGGGGAGGATGGAGAGGGGTTGGTCAACAAATGCAAAATTACAGCTGAATAGGAGAAAAGAATTCTGGTGTTCTGCAGCACTGTAGGGTGAACATGGTTATCTATAATTTGTTGTAAATTTTGAAAAAGCCAGAAGAAAGATTTTTGAATGCTCACAACACAGAGAAATGATAAGTGCTTGAGGGACAGACAGACTAAGTACTCTGATTTGATCGTTGTACATTGTATACATGTATTGAACCACTCTGTATCCCATAAATATGTACAATTATTACATGTCAACTAAAAATAAAAGGAAAACAAAAAGATAGTTGTAACAATTGAGTAATATGGAAAATATTTTGATAAAATTGTAAACTAAAATTAAACCAAACAAAAAGATGCAAAACTATATACATGGCATAATTGGAACTAGTTGAAAATATTCCTTATCAATATAAAAACATTGATAAGATTAAGGCAAAGGAAGCATGTTAGGGTTTTTTTTTTTTGCCCCTTTGAATATTCAAATAGCTTATAAACTTGTTATGCCACTTCCAAAGTGAATATGTCATGTATTATGAAATAATGAGATAGGGAATAGAAAGGACATGAGAAAAGAGAGGAAAGCCTCTAATTATTCCCTTTTCTCTTTCATGCTTTTAAAGTCTGGGGATTAGGCCACTGGGGATATTGTCTGTAAGGAAACCAGGTCCACTTATACTTTCAAGTTTGAAAACTTATAAATTCAGAATTTTAGGTCCATTCTAATAGCAGAGCTGTGTGGCATCTCTGTGTCTTGGAATAAGAAGAGAAGGTGCAATATCTTGGCTGTATGCCATGGTGTCTTACATAAAATAAGAGTTTTAGCTTTAGGAACACATTCTTCTTGTCCAGAAACTTTAGAAAATTCTTGCTACTCATATTTGAAGTTTTTCCCATCAGTTGGTATGTGCCTAAAATGTTGCCTGCTTCTGTTGAAATCTTTTCAAAATTTTTAAATTTTGTGGGTGTTTAGCAGGTGTATATATTTATGAGGTACAGGAGATGTTTTAATACAAGCATTCAATGAGTAATAATCATATCAGGGTAAATGGGGTATCTGTCACCTCAAGCATTTATCATTTGTGTTACAAACAACCCAATTATACTTGTAGTTATTTTTCAATGTACAACTCTTGTTCTACATGTATTTCTCTCTTTTCTCTTCTTCTCTCCTATTTTTTACAGTGTTAAATTTTTAAATTTCTTTTTAAATTTTAATAGTTTTGGTGGTATATGTAGTTTTTGGTTACATGGATGCTTCGGTGGCGAATTCTGAGATTTTAGTGTACCTGTCACCTGAGCAGTGTACACTGCCCTCAATATGTCATCTTTTATCTCTCAACCCATGCCCAACGTCCTCCGCCCTGAGTCTTTTACTGTCCATTATATCACTCTGTGAGTTTTTGCATCCTCATAGCTTAGCTCCCACTTATAAGTGACAATATATGGTATTTGGTTTTCCATTCCTGAGTTACTTCACTTAAAATAATGGTCTCCAGCTCCACCCAAGTTGCTGTAAGAGACATTATTTCAATCCTTTTTACGGCTAAGTAGTATTGCATGATATATATGTGTGTATACCACATTTTCTTTATCCACTCATTAGTCAGTGGGCACTTAGGTTGGTTCAAAATTCTTGCACTTGCAAATGTGCTGCTATAAACATGCATGTGCATGTGTCTTTTTCATGTAATGACTGCTTTTTCTTTTGGTAGATGCCTGGTAATGGGAGTGCTGAATCAAATGGTAGATCTACTTTTAGTTCTTTAAGGAATCTCCACACCGTTTTCCACAGTGGTTGTCCTATTTAGATTTCCTGTGTGTCTTGGTCATTTCAGCTGCTCAACCAATTGAAGGAGGAAAACCACTGACATTAAGAAAATTCTTATAGTTTGCCGAGTTCAGTGATCTATTAGTTAGCTAGCAGTGAGAAGGAAATGGAAGGAAGAATTCTTGGGGATATGTGTATGTTTGTGTCAGGAGAAAGGCTTATAGGAAGAAGGTAGATGGTAATGAAGATGAGAGTCTTTGTTCAGGAATCTTATTTTGCAGTTAATATAAAAATTAGAAATTACCCCCATTCTCAGTATCTATTCTTCTTATCAATATAAAAACTTCCTTTAACAAGCATATATATTTTTATTCTGTTATTAAAGACTAAGGGATAAGATTGCAAATATCTGTAAGTATGGTGATAGTGAAACTCAAAATTTATAAGAAGTTAATAATACAAAACTTTTAAATTTAAAGTTGGAAGAAAACATTTAGTTTGCTTTACTTTTGCAGTAGCATGATTTTTTTTCTGTTTCCCTGAGAGATGAGCCTATATGTTCAAGTTGGAGATCTTCAGTAGCCAATATCAGTACTTTCTCAATTACTCTCTTTATGATTCGTGGATATCTACCTGATCTTAGATTTTTTTACCCTTGACTGTGTTGTCAGATACTTTTGTAAGAATGGGTTTAGATGGAGATAACAGCACTGAGTACTGACTGCAGAAAAGTGAGAAGGATTTTGAAAGTGTATCTAAGGTGATTTACAATATTTATACTTTTGCCCACGACAAGTTTGGACCAGACACCAATACCATTTGGAAGTGTGAATTAAGTTACCGAGCTAGAAACGGAATAGTTCAGATTAAAGGGAGAGTTTGCACACTTTCAGCCTGCAAAATGATGTTTTAATTCTACCAGTATATTTACCTAACACACTGTTTTGAGTCTGAAGAAAATAACATTTTTCTGATCTATGTTTCTTTATCTGTCTTTTTAAATTTGACAGATTCTATAAAGTTCATTTTTTAAAAATTCTTTCTTTTTTTTTTTATGTTTTAAGAGATGAGGTATATCTATGTTGTCCAGGCTTGGGAGCACAGTGGCTATTCACAGGCATAATCATAGTGCGCTATAGTCTTGAACTCTTGGCCTCAAGGGATCCTCCCCACTCAGCCTCCTGAGTACAGGTTTAATTATATCTTAATCATATGTGCAATGCTTTTGTTATTATTACATTACTAATCTTAACTTAGTCATGTGTGCTCAAGCCTTGGTTGTTAAACCAACTTAATTAAACATTTGCCACTATGTGCCAAAGCCTTTTATATCCATTATCTCACTTACTCTTCACAACAATCCAATGAGGCAGGATATATTATTACTCATTTTTCTTTTGAAAGAGATGAGGCACAGAGAGGTTAAGTTAGCTACTCAAGGGCCCAGAAACGGCAAATGGCAGAGTCACATCAGTGTTAGCAACCAGCAGTATATAACTGTAGAGTGAGCTCTTCAAGCGATGGTACTTTATGTTATTTATCTTTGTATTTCTACTGGGCAGAAAGAAAATGAATGTTTCATGAGATTAAATTGATTGCCGTGGCCCAAAGACAATGTTTAAATAGTTTGGGCTGGAAGGGAGTCTCTTTGTCTTCCTGTCTATATATTTGCTAGGAACTCAAACTATATGAATATTCTGAGCAGGATCAGTTTTACATAGGGCCTGGATATACAGATCGTTTATGACAATGGTCTGAAAAGTCCCTACTTTCCTCACTTCACATTCTTGGTAGTAATTTTAATTATTAAGGTTTTTATACATGAAATTTTTATCTTTGTAAAAATTACAATTATGTAGGAAATAATAAATCAACAATATATGGAGTAGTATAAATAAATTTACCAGGCCATTTCCTCTGAACAAATATTGGTCATAGCAGAGGGAAATTAGTTATATCTAATGGCAATGTATGGACAGTTAACACAAAGCAGGATGCGAGCAAACATAAGGGGAAGTTGGGGCTTCAGAAAATACAATTCAGGGTTTTTTTTTAGGTTTATCTAGGACTGATACTAATTAATAAAGCTAAAGAATATTAATACTATTGAAATTAGCTTTTGCAAGATCTGTGGCAAACAAAGAAAACCTAAGGTCAGGCATGGTGGCTCACACCTGTAATCTCAGCATTCTGGGAGGCTGAGACGGGTGGATCACTTGAGGTCAAGAGTTTGTTAACAGCCTGGCGAACGCGGTGAAACCCCAACTCTACAAAAAAAATGTAACTTGACTGATATTAAAGTGAGGTTACCACTTGATGACAAATTTTCCATGGAGCAGATGGTTCTGAAATATACCAGTTTGAAGATAAACCAGATTGAAAGAACCTACATAAAACTGGTAATAAGAATTGATTACTGGCAGAATTTTGCACGACGAAGATAAATGATTCTGCTACTTCGCTTAACATTTGAGAAAACTAAGGCCAAATATGACACATTATGTAGCACTAGGATCAGATTTATTACTGATATATTTTCCTTCTTTTGACCTTTCACATATAGCGCCGCCTTAGATAGAAATTGCCTTGTTCAGAGGGCATTCTCTGTGTCCTGTGGTCTTACATCATGATTGTTGCCTTGATTTTTCAGAGCTGCCTGCATAAAAATGAGGAACTATACCTTTGTGACGAAGTTCATCCTGTTGGGAATTCCTAACTCTGAAGGGCTGGAGAAGGTGCTATTTGTCTTATTTCTGGCCTTCTATCTCTTCACCTTGCTGGGCAACCTGCTCATTCTTCTGGCCATCTTCACTTCCTCCAACCTCCACACCCCCATGTATTTCTTCCTGGGAAACCTGTCTGTGTTTGACATATTTTTCCCTTCAGTGAGTTCCCCCAAAATTATGCTCTCCTTAATGGGGCAAAGCCGCACCATCTCTTATGAGGGCTGTGCCTCTCAGCTCTTTTTTTACCACGTCCTGGGTGGCACTGAGTGTTTCCTGTACACCGTGATGGCGTATGACCGCTTTGTGGCAATTTGTCACCCTTTGCGATACACGGTCATCATGAACCATAGGGTGTGTGCTGGCTTGACAGTGGGCACTTGGCTGGGGGGCTCTCTCCATGGAAGTATCCTCACATTTCTTGTCTTTAAGTTACCCTACTGTGGCCCCAATGAAGTGGACAATTTTTTCTGTGATATTCCAGTGGTGCTGCCTCTGGCCTGTGCGGACACCTCTCTAGCACAGACAGTGAGTTTTACTAATGTGGATGTTGTGACTCTTGGATGCTTTTTCCTTATCCTGACATCCTACAGTCGTATCGTCCTTTCCATTTTGAAAACCAGCTCCTCAGAGGGCAGGCGCCGGGCCTTTTCAACTTGCAGTGCCCACTTTCTTTCAATCCTCTTGTTCTATGGGCCCGTGATGCTCATCTACCTCCGGCCGACTTCCAGTAGCTGGTTGGATTCTGTTACTCAGGTGTTAAATAATATCGTCACACCTTCCCTTAATCCTTTGATTTACACCTTGAGAAACAAGGATGTGAAATTGGCCCTGAGGAAAGTGCTAACTCAAACATTCCACACTTCTGGGATATCATAAGGCTTAGGAGCCATTCCTCTCTGAAATTATTTCAGGAGTTGCTTCAGATCCACTAACCTTAACAACAAGATTACTGCCAAATAATGAGCTGGGCAAAGTTACTATGGGGAATCTTTTGAGAGTCTTAATGGTCACATGGTAGAGAATGAGTGGCAGGGAATGGGTAGATGGAGCCACTGATTTAATGCTTCAAGGAAGCTTTTTCAGATTAACCTAATTTTTCTCTTTTTGTAATTTGACAAAACAATGTATCCTTTCTGTGTTATAGTCTACTTGCTGAAACTTTGTAATAGTCTACTTGCTGAAACTTTCTACTGATTGTTTTACAATGCAGCAAGTTTCTAGAAGCCAAGGACTGTCTTGCTCTCTTTCCTTCCCTCCCTCCCTCCCTTCCTTTCTTCCTTTCTTGAAAAATTTATATCTTACCCTATTCCACTACAGCATTGCTCTGGCTATTAAATAATGGTAGGTTTTAGGGCCAATACATTTTAAAATTTAACAGACTGCATAGTCAGTTAAATTTAATTTTAAACTTGATATAAAATGTCTTCACCTTTAATGACGTCTTCCTATTACAAAAAAAAAAAAAAAAAATCAGTCTGAAGATTTGGCCCTTTGGCTGTCAGAGAATTTTTGTGTTGGATTTCATTTGCTGTCTCAAGTGAAAAGCTGGTCATTCATCTATTTGTATAAAATGGAAAGATGAATTTCTGCAAATTTGCAGAGGAAAGCCTTGTTGAAATAGCGTTCTCTTTTGTAGGTATACTCTATTTCTTGAAAATCCTATATATCTTAAAATTAAACTATTAACATTTATTATTTATTTTTTTGCATTTTTTAACATTTAAACTTCAACATTTAATCAAATTATTTTTAGGCCAGTGACCTATGTATCTAAATTCATCCCCTCAAACACCTAGAATAACAGGTAACATTTAAAATCTGCTTACGACATGCATTATAGTATGTGAAGCACTTCCCGGGTGTTAACTCACAAAATCTAAGAGGTATATATTACGTATCTTCCTTTTATAGATGAAGAAACCAAGGAGAAAGAAGTATTCACACCAAGGCTGGCTGAATCTAGAACTAAATTCCTAGCACTACTTATGGTATACTGCCTTATAAGAAGTACTGAAGATACATATATTTTGTATGATAGCAGCTATACTTATGTCTTGCTTTTTATATATAATTTGCTGTTTTAACTGTTGATAAATGAATACAATCTGAATCCACCCTTATTAGGTAGGTACAGTTATTATCTTCAATTATATATGAAAAGACTGAAGCCTAGGGAGCTTACGTAACTGAAAATAGAAAAACTGTGATGACATTGGACATAACTAGTGTATTAGACCATTTTCATATCGCTATAAAGAAATACATGAGGCTGTGTAACTTAGAAAGAAAAGAGGTTTAATTGGTTCACAGTTCTGCAGTCTGTACAGGAAGCACAGCAGCATCTGCTCCTGGGGAGGCCTCTGGGAGCATTCGCTCATTAAAGAAGGCCAAGGGGGAGCCAGCATTTCACATGGCAGGAGAAGAAGGAAGAGAGGGAGGGGAGGAGGTGTCACACATTTTTAAACAACCAGATCTCGTGAGAAGTCACTCAATATACAGTACATAGAGGGGATGATGCTAAATCCTTCATAAGAACTCTGTCCCCATGACCAAATCACCTCCCACTGGGCCCCACCTCCAACACTGGGGATTACAATTCAACATAAGATTTGGTGGGGACACAGATCCAAATCATATCAACTAGGAAAGCACTCTGGGTAACATTCATAGAAATAAATGATAGTGGGAAAATAATAACTTTGACTTTTTTCTACTTTATAGTAATATACATTCATTTGACCTATTAACTTAAAACGCTTTATCTGACTAACGTCAGATCTGACTAGAGTGTTCACTAAATGACCTATACAAAGAGTAAAAGGCAAAAATATGTTTGGCAGAGCACCATCAACCTGTCTGTGAACATTTATGTTCAATCATCAGATTTATTCTGCAGTTGCTAATAATACTATGTTGTCATTCAAGGGCAACTGTGTCCTTTGTAGGGACATGGATGAATTTGGAACCATCATTCTCAGCAAACTGACATGAAAACAGAAAACCAAACACCGCATATTCTCACTTATAGGCGGGTGTTGAACAATGAGAACACATGGACACAGGGAGGGGAGCATCACACACTAGGGTCCTTTGGGAGGGGCTAGGGAAGGTACAGTAGGGGGTTGGGGAGGCATAACATGGAGAGAAATACCAGATATAGGTGATGAGGGGATGGAGGCTGCAAACCATATTGCCATGTATGTACCTATGCAACAATCCTGCATGATCTGCACATGTACACCAGAACCTAAAGTACAATTTTAAAAAGAACCTAAAAATTTAAAACTTAACATTTTCAGTCTTTTGCCTAATGAAAAAGAGGTTATACAAATATTACTATTATTTCAGATTTATTTTAAATTAAATTATGATTTGTTTTATTACTGCTTTATTTGTTAATATTTGCTCATTTTCAATTCCTATGCTGATGGTGCAATTCCTTTGATTTTATTTTAAGTTCCAGGATACATGTGCAGGACATACAGGTTTGTTACATAGGTAAATATGTGCCATGGTGGTTTGCTGCACCTATCAACCCATCATCTAAGAGTTAAGCCATGCTTCCTGCTATTTATTAGCTATCTATCCTGATGCTCTCTCTCTCCCTGCCCCTTCAATTCTTTATATGAGCAGAGTAGTCACTGCTACACTGCAGTGTAATGTAATTCCCTCTATGCACATTCTATTTCAGTATATAGCCTTTGATTTAAAAAAAAGAAAAAGAAAGTTATTGATTCCCCTGAACAATCTGTGGTATTGTCATAGTTATTTATTGTAGTGCAACAAATTACTCCAAAACATTAGCAGCTGAAAACAAAATCATGTATTGTCTTATGCAGTTTCTGAGGGGCAAGAATCCTGGAATAGCTGAGCTGGGCAGTCTTGGCTAGTCTTTCATAGGTGGCAGTCATGCCTTCGGCCAGGGCTGTGGTCATCTGAGGCAGGATCTGTTGCAAGAAAACTCAGTACATAGCTGTTGCAGAAAGTCTCAGTTCTACATTCACCATATGGACCTCTTCCTATTGCCACCTCCATTCCTTACAACACAGTAGCTACTTACCTAAGAGTGAAGGATACCAGAAAGAGTCTAAGCAGGAAGCAGCAGGGCCCTTTATGACCTAGTTTCCAAAGTCAAATACCATCCCTCTTGCTTTCATTTTCTTCTTGTTAGAAGTGACTCACTAAGTCCAGCCCACACTCAGTGGGAGCTCTTACCTTTCTCAATGAGAGTGTAAAAATTTGTCAACACATTTCCAACCACCACAGAAATATTTCCACCTTATTTAAATATTTCCTTAATGGAACTTTTTATTTAGGATTATTTCATATGTTCCTGTACAACATTTTTTTTCATATTGTTTTCTCAATTTAGAATGTCTAGAGCCCTCCCTGCCTTTGTGAGAACCACACATCTTTTAGATCTTTATTTGTCCTCTCCTATTTTCATAACAGTTTCTCTGAATAAATCATTCCACGATTCCATGATCCCTTTCTTCTACCAGCTGTTAGTTTTTGTTGCTTAATTATTTTGTCATTAAGAAATGTACATTGTGGCAGTTCTTATATAATCATTTTGGATTGCTACATGACTCATAAATTATTGTTCAATGTTTTAATTGATTACTGGCCTATAGCATAATTGAGTCATAAGGGCAGAAAACATTAAATATTTGTTGGCAGTTTGCCAGTTATAAGACTTAGTGCTAGTCAAAGATGCTATACTAGTGAATAAGGTAAATATGGCCTCCAGCCTTATGGAGTATAAAGCATTTTGGAGAAGACAGACATGTAACAAATGGTCAACACATCAGGGGCATAAAACCTTTGTATAAAAATAGAAAAGGGGGCTGTGAAATTTAGGTTCCCATAAAAGTTCCAAGTCCAAGTAAGGAAGGAAATTAAAAAACTAGGCAAAAGAGGAAACCCAAAATGCTTGACAAGAGACAAGTGTCATTAAAAATATTATTCAATGGCTGCTCCTGTAATTTAAGACTTATACTAACTTGAGCACTTACTTCTAGTTGGCACTGTGAAGTGAATGAAATGGCACTTTTGAAATGAATAGAATGGCACCATAAGAAATTAATTTTGATGAATATTGTTCTAAGATGCTTCAAAGTGCCTAATATAGCAAGGTGACCAGATACTGAGTGTCCCTATTTTTAGAAAAAATAGCATTCTCTATTGACAGAGACTTTCACTATAATACACACATCATTTTAAAACGTAAAAAAGCAAGCAACTTAAATGAATGGCTTACCCTTTCCTAAGCAATCTTTCTAATGTCAAGGGCTATGCAGACTATCCCTTCATTGCTCTAATGCACCTCATACAGCGTTTTTTTCCATTGTAGCTACTTCCCCCAGCTTGCTCTAATCTTTAAAAAAAAAAAATTCATCTCTATTCAAACTAGTGGAAGAACTAGCAGAACTAGCAATGACTGTCTCTGGTTCAGGACTTAGAAAAGCATTTCTCTTATCCTTGGGAAAATTTTGTTCTATCAAACCTATGAAAGGATGAATAAGTCATAGCTGCCTCTGTTGAACTAGAGACTCCCTTCAATTTTGATCACCTCAGTCATAATCTTTTATGTCAGCCCAACACAGTCACTCCTTCTGAGACCCATTAAGTCAACTCACTGATAATGTTTTCACTCACATAAATACACTGTCAAGTATTCATGAACACACCTTATGCTCTCACTGAAATTTTCCTGACCTATACACAGTTCCATTCATTTATTATCTAACTACCAATGAGTGGCATTATCTCCTACCTGATGTTTGAGAGGACCAAAAAGCAAAAATCTTATATTTCTGTCTCAGAAATAATAGAGATAAAAAGTGTCAGAATACATTAAAATAGCAACTTAATTACTGATAACTATGTTATATAATTACTACTTTAAAGAATGTGGTTTACTTAAAGACTCAACCAAAAGTCTCCTGGAACTGAAAAATGACTTCGGTGAAGCTTCA